TTTTGTCCCTTCCTGCTTCTCTGGGGGACCATGTATGTCTCTCTTAGGGTCCTCCTTAAAAACAAAGGTTTTGGGGGGTTTTTGCAGATTTTTTTATTTGAATTAGAAACAAGATTTACATGTCAATCCCAGTTCCCTCTTCTTCCTCTCCTCCCCTACTATCCCCCCTCCCAACTAGAACCCTACCTATCACATCCCCTTTCTACTCCCCAGGGAGGGTGAGGTCTTCCATAGGGGAGGTCTTCAGAGTTTGTCATATCCTTTGGGATAGGGCCTAGGCTCTATCTTGTGTGTCTTGGATCAGGGAGTATCCCTCTATGTGGAATGGGCTCCCAAAGTCCACACATATGCTAGCCATAAGCACTGATCTACTACAGAAGGCCCCATGATTTCTGAGGCCTCCTTACTGATACCCAGGTTCTTGGGTCTGGATCAGTCCCATGCTGGTTCCCCAGCTATCAGTCTGGGGACTAAGAGCTCTTCCTTGTTCAGGTCTGCTGTTTTGGTGGGTTTTACCAGCCTGGTCTGGACCCCTTTGCTCATCACTCCTCCTTCTCTGCAACTGGATTCCAGTTCAGTTCAGTGTTTAGCTGTAGGTATCTGCTTCTACTTCCACCAGCTGCTGGATGAGGGCTATAGGATGGCATATAAGTCAGTCATCAATCTCATTATCAGGGGAGGGCATTTAAGGTGGCCTCTCCTCTGTTGCTTAGATTGTTAGTTGACATATTAACACTTCTTTGGACACAGCTACTTAACAAACCAGGTAAACAGTACTGAACATTTACTGAGTTTTAGAAGACAAATTTACTGAGTTTCAGGAGCTATTCTGCACACTAGTTAATGCTAGAGCAAGCCTGTCAGTGCTAATTCTGCCCTGTCATCACTATTCCTATAAGCTCATCCAAAGAAGGAAGAACACTGCTAACCAGAGCCACGACTCCCCAAACAAAGCCTGATGTCAAAGAAGTATTAATATCTGACATACGCACAGAGAAGAGCACTATTTGCTTATTTTGTATGTATGCATTTGGTACACAAGCCATAAAACATGTGTGACAATCAGAGGACAACTTTTGGGGGTTGGTTCTCTCCTTTCACCATGTAAGATCTGGGAATAAAACTCAGGACATCAGGCTTGGTGGCAGGTGTCTTTAACTGGAGCTGTATTGCTGGCTCTTAAATTTTACCTTTTAAGAAGGAAGCAGTGAGCCAGTTGGTGGTGGCACACCTTTAATCCCAGCACTTGGAATGCAGATGAAGGTGGATCTCTGTGAGTTTGAGGCCAGCCTGGTCTACAGAGTGCCAGGATAGCCAGGGCAACAACAGAGAAACCCAGTCTCAAAAAACTAAATAGTAAACAAAAAGTGAGGTGAGTAAAGGTGCTAACTACCAAACCTGAAGACCTGAGTTCAATCCCTGGGATTATCAGGGAAGGACACTTAAGGTAGCCTCTCCACTATTGCTGTTGGTTGGTGTCATCCTTATAGATCTCTGGACATTTCCCTAGTGCCAGATTTCTCTTTAAACCTATAATGGCTCCCTCTATTATGGTATCTCTTTTCTTGATCTCCTCTTTTCTTCCTGCTCCCTCATGTCCTCCTCTCCCCTCCTCTTCTCCTCTTCTCTTTCTCCTAACTCCCTCTCTCCTCCCCCCATGCTCCCAATTTGCTCAAGAAATCTTGTCCCTTTCTGCTTCTCTGGGGGACCATGTATGTCTCTCTTAGGGTCCTCCTTAAAAACAAAGGTTTTGGGGGGTTTTTGCAGATTTTTTTATTTGAATTAGAAACAAGATTTACATGTCAATCCCAGTTCCCTCTACCTCCCCTCCTACCCTGCCACCCTCCCTCCAACTAAAACCCTACCTATCACATATCCTTTCTGCTCTCCCTGGAGGGTGAGGCCTTCCATAGGGTGTCATCAGAGTCTATCGTATCCTTTGGGATAGGGCCTAGGCCCACCCCCATGTGTCGTGGCTCAGTGAGTATTCCTCTATGTGGAAGGGGCTCCCAAAGTTCACACCTATGCTAGGGATAAGTACTTAGCTACTACAGAAGGACCCGTAGATTTCCAAGGTCTCCTCACTGAAACCCGTGTTCCTGGGGTCTGGATCAGTCCCATGCTGGTATTCCAGCTATCAGTCTGGGGACCACGAGAAAAACAAAGGTTTTAGAAGCCCATTTTCTAACTTTTGTGCCAGGCCTTTGTGGGTGTTTACAAGCATGATCAAGAAACAAAGGTTGTAGAACTTCATATATGAGCAAATAAAATCTGAGTTCATTAATTACTTGTCATGTGCATAGGGCAACTTTATAGTTAGCATCTAACCTTCAGAATAGTGCTTCATTCTACTCTTTCAGGGCACTTAGACATGACACACTGCTGGCCAAATGTGGGCATGCTGATAACTGAAGAAAGCTGGCTTTCTCCAAGACCTCTGGATTCAGAGGCCCATTTGACATCGTGAAAGTCAGAAACTGTGTCTCACATTGGCTGCATTAGGCTAGAGTCTTCAATGTGCCCTTAATACTTGTGGGCACCAGTTAGCTTATTTGGAAGCTGACTCAGGATCATATCCCTCACCACTTTCTGTTCTCCCTGCTGTTTGATCCATATCTTGGGCCAAGGATGAACATGTGACTAATAGCTCACGTGCTCTGAGATGACCAGCCCCAGGCACCACTCTTTGGAGCAATGAGACCAAATCTGTACAGAGAAGCATGCACACCACATGTTCTGATTCTTGGGTCCTTCTGAAAAGACACCCAGATGAATTCTAACCACCTGCTTTTCCTCCAGGGTTTTTGATGATGGCCGATGTGTTTTGAACTGTCCCTCCTGGAAGTTTGAACTTAAGAAGCAATGTCACCTGTGCCACCACACTTGCCAAGAATGCCAAGGAAGCGGTCCTTCTAACTGCACTTCCTGCAGGGCAGGTGAGGGCAATTGCTGCTGGCTCCTGCTTCACATTGGTCTGTTCTCTCACAAGGCAGCATTTGGTTTGGCTCAGAAGCCAAGGGACAGAGCTGAGGTTCAGGGCAGACAGCTGCTCATTACACCACCAGTACAACCTGAAGGCTCTGTTGCCACCAGGACACATAAGCCTTGTTCACATAATCACACACGTTGACTCACTGCCCTGAGGGAGATGAGAGAGGTGAAGAGAGAGGCCTTCCTCGGGGAAGCAAGAGGAAAGACTATTACATGTGTTGTCAACCATGCCATGCTCAATAAAGCCAAGCCTTGTTGTGGTAGACCTGAAAAGCCAGGGAATTATCAAGACACATATGGTCCCTAAAATGAATAATGCATCAAAGGTTATGTCAGGTCTCAGAGTTGAGCTATGCCATTCAGATGGCAAGGTAATCAATCTACACATGACAGATGTGACCTTTTGGGTCTAGTCTGAGTTACTCTCAGAGTATCTGCCATCACTGGCATGGAGGCCATGCCCTCGGCATGTTCCTCTGCAGTTTAGTCTTGACACTGCTCCAGCCTTGTTTTATATGCCTGTTCTCTATTTTGACTTTGTGAGAACTGGGATCACATTATTTTTCCTATATAGTAAACAGAGTTTATGTTTCAGGCAAATTTAAATTTTGTGCAATTTTAAAGAAAAAGAGTAGACTATTGGTCACTGTTGAAAAGTTGGATGGTGTGGTTGCACTAGGCCCATCTTTCCCAAAGATATTTCAGGGTGAAGCCTCAAAGAGGCTACTCTGCATTCTCCACAGTCCTCGCTGGGTGCGGTCGTCTAGCTGATCCTGAGGTGTCATTTGTCTAGTGAAAGAGACTTATTTCTTTTCATTCTTGTTTACAGTAAAACCAAGAAAAATGAAAAAAAAATGACAACATCTTAGATTGGCGTGAATACAGAAAATTGGAGCCCTGCACTTCCTTTCACACATCTTATCACTCTTAAGATCCATCTCGGCCATAAAGACTTTATGTCCCAGATGAGCAGTGAATGTTTTCTACACTGGTCTGAACATGAGACAGTATCTGGCATGCAGACTGTATACACACAGAAGATATGTACAAGAATCCGTAGTTTGGGAGTCAGTCCCTCAAGACTAGCAGTCAGGAAATGCACAACTGACCCAACATCCTAGATTGATTGATTGATTTCTAACAAGATCTCCTGTATCCCAGGCTGCTCCCAAACTTACTATATAGCTGAGGATAACCTTGACCCTTTGGTTCTCCTACCCCCACCTCCTAAATGCTGGGATTACAAGCATGCACCACAACACCTGGTTTTACGAAATCCTGAGATTACATGTGCTAAGCAAATACCCAACATCCCAGCCCCCAGCTTTCTTACTAACTAGAAGACACCAAAATAGTCACTTCTTTAAGCCTCTTCTTATTTGTTTAAAAAGATAGAAAAGACAAATATGCTTTTAAAATCACTTTCCCATCCAGTGGGAACTCTACATCTCAACATACCACACAATTAGAACAAAGTTTAGATGCTAAGCAAATGTCAAATAGTCTAGTATCTTACTACTGCTTGTAGCAAACCACATGAAGGACTTTGACATTTTTTTTCATATTTTATACTTGAAGGGCTGCATCCAATCTATAATCTTAAATATTAAGTGCCTTCCTCCTTTGCATGAGTTACAAGTAGAAGCAATGGAGAATAAAACACATGGGAACATGATGCTTGTGATGGTTACGAGTTTGTTAACTTGACCTGATTGAGAAATGCTTCATAGATTTTTAAGGAAATCGCTGCTCACTCAATGTTTTTGTGCAAGCATTTTCAGAGAGGATTGACCAAGAGGGAAATTCCACCCTTAATGGAGGCTATACTACCACATGAGCTGTGGTACAGATGGAGGGGTCAGGGGAATGAGAAAGCCACTTAGTATGGGAATTCTTCTCTGCTGTGTGGCTACCAGGAAGTGAGCATCTCCACTCCATCATGCCCTCGCTGCCATGATGTGCTAACACCCTTGAAACTGAGAGACAGGATAAATCTTCTGTCCCCTCAAGCATTCCTGGTGGATATTTCTGTCACTGCAATGAAAAAAACTGACTCACTGTCAAGGAGTTTACAGACTAATAGGGAGGTTTGTCCTCACATACTGAACAACGAAAAACTATCAGATAAAGACCAAATGAGCAGTCAGAATGCTGCCACAGATCATTTCCATATGTGATGAGCAGAGGTTTCCTGGAGAGGGTATTTGTTTACCAAACCCTTACTTAACATGCTCTCTGCACAAGAAAAGCTTGTGCTAACACAGCAAGGATAGTCTATGCCTTGAGATTACCATGCTGAAGATGAATGCTTAACCTCAAAAAAAAAAAAAAAAAAAAAAACTCCCGAATAGAAATTTTAATATAAAAGGTTGAAGGTCAGCAAGCTCATGTGGGTCAGTCCAGCATTATACTGACTTTTTGCTTCTGTCTTTGCAACAAGGAACTACTGTTAACTTCATACACATACTCAGTGTCCCTTCAGCCTGAATGTCAGTGGTTTGGATCTCTGGGTGGTGGCTCACATGCTGAGTGAATGGTAGACCAGATGTTCTAGGGAACACAGATCAGCTGTTCTTCAGATCTGGGGCCACATGGGAAATCTGGTTCTCAGTAGATTGAGTAAATGGATCACCAGAACACACTGAGCACTGTATCTTCCCAAAGCTGGGAGTAAGGGGCTCCTAGATAGACAGGTAGTAGTAATCTCAGTGTTGTTTTTTGAAAATATTTGTGGCTGTTTATAATCCTCTGTGGCTGATCCTGATATTTTTCTTACTGATTAAATGTTTCTGTTCTCTCCGGGAACAAATTGCCGCTCTGTCATGCTGGGAAATTGCTGATTCTCTCCTTATAGAGCCCAATGTTGACAGAAATAAAACCCTTAGGGATGACGTGAACGAAGTGTGGAGGTGTGCATGATTTAGGATGTCAATAGGGCCATCCTTAGAACATCAGTACAAGCATGTGATTTTAGTAGTGATTCCAAATCATTGTGAGATTATGCTTTTATCAAGTGTATCTGCCAAGAAGTGCATGCTATTTTTATGGCATCTCTGTAACCCCCAAGTCTGAACGGGTCTACCTTTACTCAAAGGAGCCCTTGGGAAAGTTAAACACATTTTGAATTGTAGCTATCCACAAAACATGGTTTGTGGTTTTGCAATGACATCCCAAATAGAAGTTGTTCACTCAAATACATAAAATAGTGTAAAATGATTCTCTGCATGGAAAACTTTTCAGCGATAAGGATTTAGATATTGCACTTTTTATTAAATCCATTCTGGTGTTCTTGGTCCCCTAGAAACAAAAGCATTCAATTGTTTCCCTTTTTAATAAAACATCTTACATTATATGAGTTCCAGAGCTGGTTTCTGCATCTTCTCTTTCCCATGCCCCTCTAACTGATCAGACAAGCACGGTCGGGGACGCTTCCTATACCAAGGGGAATGTCGGGAGAGCTGCCCTGTGGGCCATTATCCTGCCAAGGGACATGCCTGCCTGCCCTGCCCAGACAACTGTGAACTTTGCTACAACCCACACGTCTGCAGTAGATGCATGAGTGGCTACTTCATCGTGCCCACCAACCACACATGTCAGAAGCTGGAGTGCGGACAAGGTGAGGCCTCTACAGGGTCCTACTCAGCACCAGGAGGTGGGATGAGAGATTATACCTCTGGGTATTGGGGAGGCTTTGACTACCTTTCTTTCAATTGTCATGGTGTTATTATGAGCACTTAGAATTACTCTGAATAGCTCAATATGCAAGTGGAGGTACTTTCCCTTCCCTTTCCCCAGACTCACAATGCCCAGGCAAGGGAGATAAACTGAGATCAGAATCTAAGTGTTGGCCAACAGTTTTCTTCCTCTCAATTACTAGGTATGAGACCTTGGGCAAAACTAATCTAATTTCTCCATGCCTTGGGGCTTTATGTGAAAAGGGGCAAGCATAACACCAAATAAGATTGACATGAGAAGCAAGAAGAATCAGTGTATCCAAACCTACTTGAAATTGTTGAGTGCTCTGTGATTGTATGCTGTCACTGTTCAATTACTTTGTTATATTGAGAGATGATAAGTTTAGCAGCATTGATTATATTTGCTGTTTTATATGTGAATCTGCTATGTAAAAATTATGACTGGCCAGTGTCTGTTCAGTTTCAAGATACTTTTAATTAAGCACCCCTTGTATTTCTCCTTCCTGTTTACAGAGACAATAAAATATTTTTTAATTTTAAATATGTTTAGTAGGTCAAATATAGAATCTGATCTTTATATATCTAATTCTGTTTTCCTAGACACAGAACTGACTTAATTATATGAATCCAATCTACTAGCTTGACTTTGGAATTAGTTATATGGCCAACTGTGGTGGGTCATAGCTGTAATCTCAGTACCCAGGAGATGAAAACAATGAGTTTAAGATCAATTTAAGCTACATGGTGAGCTCCAAGTCAGCCAGAGCTACATAGCCAGACCCTGTCTCAAAAATCAAAGTGAAACAAACAAAAGACTAGTTATATGGAATATAGTCTAAGCCTCTTCTATTTGTACCCACTTGTGTGGTGCAGTATGTTAAGTTAATACAGGATTTTAAAGTACATGACATCCTTCTTCAAGATGGTTTTGGGCTTCATAATCGCTCTGTGATTCACATGTAAATGAACCACACACCAAACACAATGTTTTCCTAGCAGTGAGCATTCCTCTACCCAGTGGGTTGAGTTGTGTTTTCCATTCCTTTCACTGTGCAGGTGAATTCCAGGATTCTGAATATGAAGAATGCATGCCTTGTGAGGAAGGATGCCTGGGGTGCACTGTGGGTATGTCATGTTCCTTTGTTACTTAAAACGTTTAAATAGCATGTCCCTTGTCGCACATGCTGATGCTGCCATTGCTTCAGCAAGGAGTCTTGTCATCGAGGTAATTATCAGTGTCCCCATCACTCTCCCTAGTATAGACGTTGTCACAGTGAAGCGATGCTTGTGAGGCAATAGTGTCACGCTTAAGAAAGCATAGCCGTGTCTCCCCCTGACACTCTAACTCTTCTTTATGGAGCTGACAAATAAAATCAAACAAAGAAATGTTTGTTGGCTCTAACTCACTAGGTATGTGGAACCCAAAAGGTAATGGGTAGAGAAATAAGGGGATCTCCTTTTGTGAAAGTGACCCCACTGCCTGGGGCCTAAGAAAGTTTTTGTACTGTGGTGAAGTCAAGATTCCTGTTACACAAAGAAAAGCATGCAGACTCTAGTTCAAGCTTGTAGCGCCCCCATCCCTTCATCTCACACTGCTGCTACTCTGGCAAAGGAGAAGATGGGGTTGCTTTATAGCACACCACATCAGTGAATTTGATTTTAAAAAATGTAAAATAGGGAGACTGTGATATCAAGACTGTACTTTTATGTAAGTCTAGGCCACATATAGAAAACAGCATATAGGATCTGTGAAGGAAAATTCCAGCAGGAACAAAGTAATTTCTCTTTGCAGGGGCTTCTGTGGAGCCCTATGGTCCTCTAAAATGGTATTATGTACATACATATCACATGGGAAGTTTGTCCGGATGCAGACAAGCTGTCAGTGGGGTCACTGCGGTTGCTCGATAGACCACTTTCAAAGTGTCACATTGCACTTCAGCTATGTAGAATTTATTGGCCTTACCTACTAAACTTAATTATTTGTTTTTTTGTTTGTTTGTTTATTCTTCTCTCATACGATACATCCCAACCACTTTCCCCTCCCTCTACTCCTCCCTACTCCCCCTGCCACCTCCCCTCTTCCCCAGACCTCCTCGGCCTCTGTTTTCCTTCAAAAAAGAGCAGGCCTCCCTTTTTTTTTTTTTAGCTTTTTAAAAATTATTTAATTTAGCAGGGTTTTTTTGAAAAAAAAAGCAATAAGTCAAAAAAACTGAATATATATATATATATATATATATATATATAGTCTTGTTTTGCTTTCATGTGACTTTATTCCATCTTCAGGACTTCTAAGCTTCTGGCGTTAGCAGGGATGCCAACCCAAAATGGCATAACAAGATGCAATAAGACTAGTCACAGACCCTCATATACATCCCAAAATGGCATAACAAGATGCAATAAGACTAGTCACAGACCCTCATATCATGGCTGTAGGAGACAACCCAGTAGAAGGAAAGGGGTCCCAAGAGCAGGTGAAAGAGTCAGTGACATCCCCACTCCCACTGTTAGGAGTCCCATAAGAACACCAAGTAAACAAGCATAACATATATGTGGAGGACCTAACATAGACCATGCAAGCTCTGGGATTGCTGCTTCGGTCTCTGTGAGCCCCTATAAGCCCTGCCTAGTTGATTCTGTGAACCATATTTTCCTGGTGTCCTTGACACCTCTGACTCCTACAATTCTTCCTCCCCATCTTCTGTGACTTCCTTTAATTCTTAAATATTATGCATGAACTATAATTTATCCAAGGCTTTAGAAACGTGAATAGCATTCTTTCATTATTATCTGTTGTGGAATGAGGAGAAGAAATACAGTAACAGTAAAACTTCAGAAGGAGGTGGCAGTCACAGATTTAAGGGTAAAATTCTAAATATCTGGGAAATTTAAACACAAATAATAAAGGACTACAATTAAAACAATGACAACAGATTTTATACGTTACTTATGGCTATTTTAATTGTGTGTTTTGTTGTATTTTGTTTTTACAACATACCCGAATTACAGTCTTTCTTAAGAAGTAATAGGAGATCTTTCTGGCAGCAATGATAGATGTTCTGATGGTCTTGATTTTACTTTTGTCCATTTCAAACCTGTTTTCCACTTAGGTGTCCCACCCCAACTGGATTTCTTTTGCACCTTCACCATTGCATGCTGAACACCCCTGCCTGCATCTTTGTGTATCACAGTGGGTGGAGAGGGAGTGTTTGTGTGTGTTGTGGGGACAGATCTTAAACATGTTGCCTCTCTTGGCTTTGTTTAGGGATGACAATAGAACAAATCCACTAAGTTAAACAAAGAAGAGTAAGTTTTCCTTCCACATGTTTGAAACACCCCAAAAAGAATGTACCTTTGAAAACTCCCTCAGATTCAGATAGCATCCTAAAAGGTATATGATGGTAAATGACATTATTCTTTGGGAGACGGAATAAACATCTACTCATACCAAATTAAGAACTGATGGCAGACCAAAGTACAGATACCAGAAGCTTGGTGAACCAATGAGTTTATGGGGGTTACTTGCAGGAGCACAAATAACTCAAAGACAGCTGCATCATCAAAGCCCATCCTAACATGGGTGACAACTCATGAAAGCTGGGAAACCTGGAGCATACTGAACAATCTTTAGAAAGCTCAACAGGCTAACATGTGTCCTTTCCAAGCTTCTCAGCTGTTCTAAGTCTTTTCTGAGAGTACTTGCCATTAGTCCTTAATGCATACATGCATATGTATGTATGTATGTATGTATGTATGTATGTATGTATGTATGTGTGCTTGAGAAGAGAGGGGCCTAATGAATCTGGTCAGTTTCAGGGACTTCCTGAAGCTATTTTGAGATGTTTATTTTCTGAGCTTAGTGAGCTTCTCTGCAGGATGGAATGTTTCACCTCCCCATGTAAACATCCTGTATCTTAGTGATCTACACAATGGATGTGAGCAATAACAAGGCAACCATGAACACTGGGAGATTCAATGGCATGGCTTAAGATGAGACCAAAGTGTTGTAATTGAGAAATGATTCCATAGGAGAGACTGGCCAACCAGGGCCTGGAGATCTGGAGTCTCCTTAACTGACAAGTCAGTCTGATTCACTTCACAAAGTGCTGTTAAAATATCTCACTCACTCCTTAATTTAGGAGACTTTAGCTATCTGCTTTGTGCCCAGTGCCAATCTTGGTACTGGGAATTCAAAGGTGACATGGCAGGCAAACATCTAGAGATGTGCCTGGAATGTTGTACTTTATAAGGCTGACCCAGAGTGCAGGGAGGTTCAAGTATAGCAAGGTCACCAGGGAAGGCAACAAGAACATTCAAAATGCTGAGTTAACAGCCGAAATTCTAATATTTCTCTTCATTTACAAAATTTCTGTGTTGGATCTTGTGTGTTCTTGAACTGACTTGCCTGACCTCAACCATGACCTCATTTCTGAGACCTTGTGATAATCTCCAGTGGAATGAACCCTCCCTTTCTCCCTTTCATGTGTAGGTTGCTATGACATTGGTCTAACATTTGCTATGTGCATATCTTTCTGCCTGTCACTGAAGGGCTTGCTTGAGAATATGCTCTCTGGCTTACATTGTCTGCTCCCACAAGCAAAGCAGCAGCCCAGGATCATAAAGTACACACAGTTGATAAGCAAATGTCACTCACTTGTAATGGCATGGCTTACAGTGTTCTGACTCTACCATGGTGTGATAATGATCTTAGGGTACTAAATTAGGATCTTGTTCTTCACTCACAATATGCATACAGAATTTCCCCATGTTGCTATGCAGCAGCAAACCACAGCTGCTAAGAGATCACAAGCTCAAGTCAACAACCAATACCGTGCAGTGTGCTATGTGACCAGTGATTCTTCAATATATTACATGAGATAACCAATGTTTCATTACAAAACAATCTTGTGTTAGAGGCACTTCCTTAAGTGTACACTGCTGTGTTCTGAGAGAATATGAAAGGCAGTCTGTGTCCTAGACTCTAGGATATGCTATGATGTTTGGTAAGCCATGAGTATTAAATACATTTTTGTCTTAATGGTATGTTCCATTTGTGTTTATCCAAACATAACTCCATTGTAAGAAAAAAAAAACATGTGTGTAAATGTTTACTGGGCTGAACTTGAGGGTTTCTCAAGTTCAAAACTGAAAGATAGCTCATGAGACTCAGGGGTTCAGAGTCAGTGTTTTCTCTAATTAAATGTTGTATGCAACCCAAGAAAAGGAAAGAAATCATACAATAAAACGATTTTATAGAATATTAGAATGGAAAGGTTTGATGAAAACATGGTTTGTTGCATTTTATAGTTTTAAGAAGGTAAGAATGCGAACTTTAAAAGATACTTAGCAAGTTCTGCCCAAAATTCTTCTTGTGAAGCAAAACATCATCCTTTGGAGAGAAATCTGCTTTATTCCATCTGAACAATGCAGATTCTTTTTTGAAGGGGTCTAGACAATCTCTAGAGGAATTAAGGACAAGTACGAGCAGACATTTGAGACATTTTTATCTATGCTATGTCATAAACAGTTGTTGTGGATGCTAGGGATATTTTGAGAGTTTTATATTCGTTTTCAGAGATTCAGAGCCCTGTCGATTAATGTCTGTGTTTTACAACTAATAAAGGAAAACTCAATTTCCAGGTTGATGGAAATCACAGCCAGCTCCAGGGAGGAGCTAGGCCTTGTCGGTTCAAGAAATGTTTCATAAAGGAGACAGAAAGCTAACCCATGACCAAAAAGTGATTGTTTTGTCTGGAGGAAAACACTGAATTTGATAGTCTGGGATCAAGCTGAGGGAATATTTATTATTATGGAGTGAGGTTTCTCTTCTTTATCAGGCTGTAAACAAACAGCATTCCTATTTTTTTCTAAGAACAGTTGATGTCAAATTCTTTGTCTTTCTAGCAAGTACCTTCACTTTACATTTTCCACAAAGGCAAATCTGAGTGGGACTATTTGGGGGTGAGGTAAATGAAGCAATTTTATCTGATGTTTTGCGGTATCTTTCACAGTTTTAATTTAGTGAAGGTAGTATAACCTGAGATTGGAGATCTCCAATACTTATTTATCCATTGTCTTAATAATGGACTTTAATCACATGATATAAAATCTTTACTCCCTTACATCAT